GGTGGTGCCTCGAACTGTGTAAAACAAAGGTGATCTGCTGCTGCTGCTGCTGCTGCTGCTGCTGCTGCTGTTGCTGTTGTTGTTGCTGTTGTTGTTGCCGCTGCTGCAGTTGCTGCTGTGGTTTTTGTTGCTGTTGCTGTTGCTGCTGTTGCTGTTGCTGCTGCTGCTGTTACTGCTGCTGCTGTTATTGCTGCTGCTGCTGTTGCTGCTGTTGCTGCTGCTGCTGTTGTTGGTGCTGTTGCTGTTGCTGCTGCTGTTGGTGCTGCTAGAAGTTCATAGTAGAACGTTGCTGCTGCAGGTGCATGCGTGTGTGGTTGCTGCAGGATACAGCAGAGCCAAGGGCTGCTGCTGCTGTCTTTCCGCCTCCCCTGCTGCTGCCGCCGCTGCCGCCGCAGCCGGGTGATCGTGAGCTGCTGCTGCTTCTGTACACTCACCAGCAGACGGAGAGGCAGCAGCAGCAGCAGCAACAGCAGCAGCAGCAGCAGCAGCAAACAGCAACACGACAGGAGCTGCTGCAGCCGCCAGACCTCTGGGGGCCCCCAGGGGGCCCCCCAGGGGCCCCCTGGATGCCTCAGGGGCTGAATATGGATCCCGATAGAGAGGCGCTGCTGCAGCAGGCTGCACGCGCAAGCTGCTGCTGCTGCTGCTGCCAGTACTGTGCTGCTGCTGCAGATGCACTGCCTGGAGGATTTGCTCCCCTCGGCGGTTCTTCTGCTGCCATCAGCAGCAGCAGCAGCAGCAGCAGAAACTGCAGCAGCAGCAGCAGCAGCAGCAGCAGCTCTCTTAAAGACACGCAGCAGACTGAGGTCCTTGTCTGCAATTTTGTCCTCAAGCGGGCAGAAGCGCTGCTGTCGTTGGTTGCGCAGCAACTTGCTGCTGCTGCTGCTGCTGCTGCTGAGGTGAATGATGCAGACGAAGGTGCATGCAGCAGCAACAGCAGCAGCAGCTACAGCAGCAGCAGCAGCAGACAATTGACAACAGGACGGCCAGCGAGCGTGCAGGATTTGGAGGGGGCAGGAGACAAAGCTGATGCTGCGCTCAACACTGCAGCAGCAGCAGCAGCAGCAGCAGCAGCAGAAGCAGCAGCAGCAACAGCAGAAGCAGCAACAGCAGAAGAAACAGAAGCAGAAGCAGCAGCGGCAGCAGGGGGTGCTGCAGCAGGGGCAGCACGAAGTGAGCTGCTTGGACTGGAGAAGACGGAACTGGCAGCAGCAGACACAGCAGAAGCAGCAGCAGCAGAAGCAGCAGCAGCGGCAGCGGAAACAACAGCAGCAGCAGCAGCAGGAGCTGCAGCAGGAGCTGCAGCAGACGCGACAGCAGCACAAGAGACAGCAGCAGAAGCAGCAGCACCAGAATCGGTGGCAGCAGCTGTATCGTCAGCAGCAAATGAAGAAGCAGCAGCAGCATCAGCAGCAGAGAAGACACAAGCAACATCCGCAGCAGCAGAAGAAACAGCAGCAGCAGCAGCAGCAGCAGCAGCAGCAGCAGCAGGTTTGTGTCCCGGTATATATATAAGATTAGAGGCA